GATGGTTACTTTTCTGTCAACTTGGCTAGGCCACAGAGTACCCAGATATTTGGTCAAACGTTATTCTGGATGCTTCTGTGAGGGTGTTTTTGGTGGGATTAATACCAAAAATTGGTAGACTCATGATATAAACTGAAAATTTTGAAGTACAGATGAGAAAAGTCAGAAATAGACCAGAACATGTACAGGATTTTAGAACATGGTAAAGGTGGCAATTTAATTCAGTGGAGAAAAGATGGTTTCTGTTTATTGGAAAGAGTCTTGGCTTTCTCATAATGCCCGTGCTGCAGACCACTGATTCCATGACTGGGGAAGACATAGAACCCTGGGAGCAAAAGGGGAGACTGCCCTCCACCCCTCTGCCCGCATGGGCAGGCAGCTATGGGACTTGAAAGCCTGGGACTAGGGTGAGGCAAGTGGCCTTCCTTGCATGGCTTGGCCTCACTCTCCTTACCCTAATCCTGGCCTATTGGGTCCTGCCTTCATTTAAAATGGATAATTTGTTCATCATGGATTTTTAAAATTAATTTTTAGTTTTTAAAAAATATTGCTTTAAAATATCATTTATCATTATCACTGAGTTTTTTTGGCACCCCTTTAAATTTTACATCTGAGGGGAGTGCCTCACTAATCCCAGCCCCATCCAACTTGAGAGTGACCCGCTGTTTGTCTTGCCAGCAGCATTGGAGAGAAGTTGAAATACCTAGAACAGTGCCTGAAACACAATAGGTGCTCAATAAATGTTTTTAAAATATTTGTTGAATGAGTGAGTAGGTTGAGGACTGACAGGCCTGTCTTGCAGTGGTTCAGAGGAGAAGTTCTCAACTTACTGACCTAACTGCCTCTGGTCCCCTGGAAAAAACCCACCTGTCAGTCCATTCCATGTGAGATCCTAAAAGGCTGCCCTGCATAGGTGTTGGGGGATCCCACATACACTGATAAATAAACACAAAAGTGAACACAAGCCACTTACAGGAATAGTAGTGTACGGAAAGGGAAAAATTCCCCCTTCCCTCCTTTGGTTCTTTTGGCCCATTGAATAATCAAATCAACATGAGATAGAATGACAAGAGAAAATCTGTCGCCTTACAGCCGATTCTTAGACCACCCCCCCTGCATTAGCCTCTGACCCATTAGTCGAGAGAGTGCCTCGGAAAACTGAGGCCAGATGGAATGATATCTGTAAAGCTCTCTCGGGGGGCGTCTCAGCCTGACTGGGACCTGATGGAATGATATCAGCTGTCTCCCCTGGGAGGACATGTAATTATGTCTTGGGGCAATGTGGTGGAGTACGAAGGCATAGCATTTGCTGGAGTACATTGGGAAAAGGTCATTGGAAAAGGCCTTAAGGCGCACCAGTATACATGGTTAGTGACTGACAGCACAGCAGTTTACTTCCTTGAAAAGAATCAATAAAAACCATGCGTGGACCCGATTCGGTGGCTCAGTCTATCTCTGAAGGCTGAGTCCCTTGGTCTCGCTCTTAAATCTTACTTCTGTCTCTTGTTCTTATTCAATCTGCGCCGCCCCTCTCGTGTCCCATTTGCCCTTGCCACGCTGGACGTGACAAAAATCAAATTTAATTTCATGCACATGGAATCCCACATACATGAGAGGTTCAGAGGCAGCAAGGGAAAATGAGGTATATATGACATTCTGAGCTAGAGATGAGGTAAGGCACCTTGGGCTTCAGAAGGTCATTGCAGGGAGAGCACATGTTCAGGAATTAGTAGTTTGCCCTGTCATAGAGGTAGGACAAAAAGTTCTTATTATGGGCAAGGCTTTTAAATTCAAATTCCACTAGATAGTTAAGAGGGGAGATGGCAAAAGTTTCTGTTAAGCCCACAAAGTTCCTCTTGGGCTGGATGCTTTTAGCCCAAAATAATCCATATACCACAGAGGCACATATTGGGGTGACTCATTCTGAACCCTATTAACCTAAAAATAAAAAGGCTTTCAAAGTGAGAGGCAACAAGTACTTCTTTGAGATCACTAAGAATAGCTATTTGAGATGCACTGATTCAGGCAGAAGCTCAGGTAGTATTCCGTGCAGGAGACAAAGGCAGAGTATTTATGAGAAAAGGAACAATTATGTCAATAGAAGGAAGGTGTTTCTATTGGTGCAGACAAAATAACCTACTGATATTGATTCTAAATAATTCTTTTAATTTTTAGTCCGATAGTCATCAGTCCAGTAGTCATATCTGCTTTCTTGTTATCCTTGGAAACACTTCTTTGGGACCCAATGTTATCTTTAGGCCCAGTCCAAAAGTAATTTTGCCCTGTTTTAACATTCCAAAGATTTGAGGCATAAGATGTACAAGGCAGTTCATCTGGCATGACTTCACTGGCTCCATTTTAAAGTGGCTCTGTTTATATTATTTTTAACAACCCATGCAGTTACTTAAAGGAGAAGGAACAGAGGAATTAGAATAGGAGGTTATTCCAGAGTGCAGAACTCAGGGATGTAATAAAAGAAAACTTCATTAAAAATATATAATGATAACTATCAGTAGATATAATTAGAACAACTCAAATGTTTCTGGCACTTAAAAATCTTCTAGAACTTAAAAAATTCCTAATTTAAAAATTCAATAGGAGAATTGGAAAAGTTAATGGTCACTGTTAAAAACACAAATTCAGCCCCCAAATATATACAAATTGAAACCGGACACTAACCAGATGCTAATCATGTTTCTTTTCCTTGGTTTTTGCATCTAGGTTAATATACCTTTGGAATGCCACTTTTTCAGATGTGAAGGCCATCAAGAACTCCACATGGTAACAGCAGTGATCAATCCTCAGTCCCCATAGCACTTGGTCATCAGCAGAATTGCGCACAGTTCACCTTTTCTTCTCCCTGATGTACTCTCTTCACTTGACTTCAGGGACATTACACTCTGCAGGTTGCCTTCCTATCTCACTAGCAGCTTGTTAAAGATAAAAACCATAGGCCCCAAATAGCATCACTTGTGCTAAAAGCCCATGATACCAAACCTAGATTTAATGCCTAATTTATCTGCAATTTCAACCTGTCCCAGAAAAATAATCTTAATCAACCAGCATGGAATTTTCTCATCAAGCACCAGGAAGGTAATCCCTCACATAGGCCCTCTCAATCCCCCATAGAAAGAAGAGGCAATCTACCTAATAAAAACCCTTCAACCCTTTCCCCAAGGAAGTCACAGCCCCAAAATAATCCTGCTCCCCCTCCCCCTTTTTAACCTAATAGCTTCCTTGCCCCACCCTTCTTCCTGTAAAATCCTTCCATTTTGTACAACCCCTTGGAGCAGGCTTCTAGCTGCTAGATGGGATGCTGCCCGATTGGTGAATTAATAAAGCCAATTAGATCTTTAAATTTACTCAGTTGAATTTTGTTTTTTGACAATCACCTTCTCTGTCTGCTTTTCTGTGCCTCTTCTCCTGACCTGTGTTAATTTGGTCTAAATTAACATTCTTATTCTTTCAATTGGAGGCTGTCAACTTCACAGTTAGCCATTCTGAAGGACAAACATTTTCTGTTGATTAAAAGGTATTGAGAAATAGCCTCATAAGCAAATGAAAAAAACAAAAACAAAAAAAAACAAGAATAAAGTAACTATAAAGTAGCAAAAACTAACAAAAATGATAATGTCTAATGTAGCTAGGGCTACTTGGCCTAGGAAAAGACCCATTTGCTGGTGGCATTGCATTGGTTAAATAAGTCCTCAATAGGTAGCAGGCACTCTAAAATGTGTTCAAACTCTTTAAAGCAGTCATTCTATTTTGGGAAGACACTCTAAAATAATCCTAAAGAGAAAAAAAACAACTATCAGTTGTAGAAGTATAGACAGACATAGGTGCTCCACTTATAATGTAAAATATATAAATAAAATGAAAAGGGCAGTGGTAGAGGGCCAGCAGGTGGGAGCAGCTGCTGTGGACTGGTTTTAGAGGACCAACCCACAGGCAAATTATGGGAGATCTATTTTTGAAATATTGTCTAGAGTAAATTCATGAGGTCTATGTAAATCTTGGAAATGTTTAAATGAAAATGATCTTAATGGGGGGAAAAAGAGCACAGAATAGTACTTACATACTGATTGTATTACTGGACAGAAAGAGTTCCATCACCACCACTAGCAGAGCCAAATACTAAACACTGAAAATTGCAGTGGAGAAGATTGGCTATTTTATTATGAATGGTGCCACCCAGGAGAACGGAAAGCTAATGCTTAAAAGCCCAGACTCCTCCATGGTTACAGACAAGGGGTTTTATAGAGGAAAATCACAAGTCATCATGAGTAAGGGTTTTGGGATCATGGGTCTTGCTGATTGGTCAAGAGTGAGGTAAGAGCAGTCAATCATTTCAGGGATTGAGGTCAACTTCGGTGTCTTTCAGTCTGGCTTCATGAGGATATAGCCAGGGGTCTTTCCGTTTTAGGGCTCAAGAGCTAAAACACAACTTAGGTCATGATGATATCTTTAGTTTAACAGAAACTCATACCTTGTGACCCTTAGTCAAGGCATGGCCATTTTTTTCTGGCTACTTCAGGGGGTTAATGCCTACTAAAGCTTATACGGCATGTTGTGAAGAAACTGAAGAGTGCTGGGGCTACATAGTAAATCAAAATCACACATTAAATCAGGACCTTTGGTTTCAACTGCAGCTGTGTAAAAACAATTCAGGTCATAGATACTCATTTGGAAAATACATTATTCACAGCCTTTAATGAACATGGCAACATGCTGGGCACTGACACGAAACAGCACAAACGTACAGGAATAATGTACAGCAAAGAAGTCTAAGCTGTGGTCTGGGCTCCATCCAAATCCCATGTAAGCCCTGGGTTTGTGTTCCAGCTGGGCAAAAGATGTGGTAGATATCCGGTCGGGGCTATTGGCGGACCCACCGCCAGGGGGCGCTCGAAGCACGTCTCCACGTTCTGGGAACCCTCGGGGCTCCGCGAGCTCCCTAAGGAGCCCGCGGCCTGACTCCAGCTCGCCGCTCCCTCCCCGCCCGCCGCCAGGGGGCGCCGCAGGCCGCTTGGTGCTCGCTCGCGGCCAAGAGCGCCAGCTCCGGCGAGCGGTTGGGGTCGGCTTGGCGGCGACCATGGACCGCTTCGTGTGGACCAGCGGCCTCCTGGAGATCAACGAGACCCTGGTGATCCAGCAGCGCGGGGTGCGCATCTACGACGGCGAGGAGAAGGTAGGGCGCTGGCGCGCGGCCCGGCCCCTCCTCGCTCTCCCGGCCCTCGGCTCGCAGTCGGGCCGGCCTTCCGGGCCTCCCCCGCGCCGTGGGCGCCCGCCCAGCGCTGCGCACCGGCTCCAACTTTGGACCGGCTCCCGGCCGGCGCGGACCGTGGCAGCTCCTCTCCGCCCCCCGAGATCCTCCTGAGGATGGTACAGCTGTGCTTGGGCCGTGGGGGCCACTGCTGCACGCGTTCAAAGCGGCGGTAATGATGGCCCACCCCTTGGGGCGATCTGAGAACCCTTCAGACGCTGATCTGGGCGGAACGCAGGAGCAGGCCAGCCCCGCCACTCGTAGGAGCCTGTTGTGTTCTCTCACCCAGGGGCTTGGGGCTGTGGTCCTCGCCGGAGCCGCAGGGATTCGAGTCCTGGCCAGAACGGCGGACAGATTGCTTTGAGAGGGTTTTTGAAAAAGAAGTGTCAGTGTTGCTGGACGCCTTTGCTAAAGGCATTATTTTTATTTTATTTTTTTTTATTTTAGAAAGGAGTTCTGAGCATTTGTTTTGTAAAGGGATGTAGTAGGCCGTGCCTTGTAATTCTAGCATTAACCTTAGGAGATGTGTTTGCAAATCCAGAGGAGAAATATTAACTATAAGCATTCTGTGGAGACTTCCATCAAACTCTAAACTACAATTTCGTCCTGCCATGGATGAAATGTATAAGCTGGAAAAAGCAAACATTTAAAAACCGATTTTGAGTTTCCAGCAGTTTTCGCTTGCTATTTCTTCTTCCTTGTTCTGCTAATGGAACTTCTTTCTGTGTTTGCATACGTGCCTTGACCCATAGCTTTTCCTGGTCGGTGCTATAGAAGCTTGAGGTTTCCTTCCGCCGGGGGAATAGGGGCGGGGTTCCACTGGACCTAGAGGCACCGCTGACCCAGGTGCACTCCCTCCCCTTCGGGCATTTTCCATGTACTGTGTTGTCTCCATTATTGAGCCACGGTCTTTTTCTTAAATAATTTGCTTGGATGTATGCCATTGACTGCCTCAGCACTTTAATTAACTTATCTCAGATTGGGTTTGCCTCTTTTGGTCGGAGTGACAGCTAAATGTTTTTGTTTTTTAAACTTTGGAACTGTTTTAAATGGGAAGCATGATCAACCTCCCCTGCTTCGGCGGGTATGATGATGTCCCCATTTTCAGAATTGAATGCTGACAATGGTATTTTGGTCTTCAGAGACTTCTCCAAAGTGACTCCCTTCAGAAAGTCAGAACACCACACGCTTATTATATGTAATTCCAATATGCAAATTAGGAACCCCTTGGCTGACACAAAATATAACATGTATTTAAAACAATAAAAAATTAAAACCATTAGTATCTGTATTTGAAAAACCATTGTTAAACCAGCAAATTCTGGTTTTTCCTTTACATTTTTTGCTTCTTGATTTAGCGGACAAGTAGATATAGGTATCAGAAGATTAAGAAAAACTTAGTTGAGACCCTTTGATCTAGTCAAGAATTCTTAACTGTTCTAAACACTTGGAGTGGTGAAGGAGGGGTGTAGGTGTCTTGAAATTGAAACAGAGCTCTAAGACAGGCTTGCTCACCACTGTGGGCCCTGGGCTGTATCTATCTACTCAGTCACTTGCTGAGCTGCTTTTCCTAGTGCGACTGAGGGCCAGACTGATTCCTGGGGAAAAGTCCTGTGTCCTGGCTTCCTCCATATGCTGGAAGGCTTCCAGACCTTAAGTCAGCGGTTCTCAACCTGTGGGTCGCAACCCTTTGGGGGTCGAACGACCCTTTCACAGGGGTCGCCTAAGACCATCGGAAAACAAAAAGATATTTACAGTACGATTCATAACAGTAGCAAAATTATAGTTATAGAGTAGCAACAAAAATAATTTTATGGTTGGGGGTCACCACAACATGAAGAACTATTAAGGGGTCGTGGCATTAGGAAGGTTGAGAACCGCTGCTCTAGGAAGCTGCACATCAGTTCAAGTTCCCTTTCAAAATCTCTCACTGACTGACTCCCTTGATCTGGGCACTGCAGCCCAGATTGCTTAATCTTCATAGCTTTCCATCCCAACACGTTCCCCAGGCAGGCGTGCGCATGGCAGTCTAATAGGCCAGTTGGTTTTGGAGGGTAGGAAGTGTGCCTTTCGCATCCTTGTATTTCTGGCTCATTGTGGGTATGAAATACATTTTTTTAAAACCTCAATAATTAAAAGCACCTACTGTGTGCCAGGAACTTTATATATAATCTCATTTACTCCTCTCCATGGGCATGAGGTATTTCACTGAAGGAGAAAATAACTCTCAGAAAGTAACTTGCCTAACATCACAGTTATCAGAAGAGACAGGAGTTAAATCTCTATTGATTAGACTCCCAGAGCCTGTGCTTTGTTCACTGTGATGCCACCCTTCAAAAATACAGCAGTCACCAGTGCCAGACTCTTTGTGTAGTGTTTAATATAGGTAATCTCCCAAAGATGAGGACACTGAGACCCTCAGCTGATGGTTGAGAAAACTGTGACCTGTCCAAGGTCACACAATTAATAATTGATGGAGCTGGAGTGGACTGTGCTCTTCCCACTGGCCTAGTGCCTCTTGTGAATAAATGCCAGCTCGCTTGTTTATACAGGCACGGTTTTCATGGGCCCATTATGACCGGATAATGTGTTGTTTTCATAAGCAGTGTAGACAGGCCATTTGTTTCAATCCACCGAAGCGTCTGTAGCCTTGGCTAATTTAAAAAATAATGTGAGAAGGTTAGTAGCATATAAAGTGGCAAGTTGGTAGCATATGCTAGAAGATTTAGAAAATATTTCTTTTCTTTCATCTAGCTGTTTCACTTTTAGGAATTTACCCTTGGGAAATAATCAGAGATGCATAAAAATATAATGAATGAGGATGCTCATCTCAGCATTACTATATCTGTTATATATTATTATGTAGAGGGAAAAATTGGAAGTATTCTGAATGTCCACAATATGGGTTGGTTCATTAAATATGACACCCTAATCAGCATGAGGAATTGCTAATGATAGGCTGCTAAATGAAAAAAGTAAGTTAGAAAACTATAAATATCATAACCTCGTCTTATTTAAAGATTTTACACACACACGCACAAATATATACGTATACACATGTATACTCACACTCATATATACGTGTATGTGTGTATATACATACACTGGTATGATAATGAGTGATTTTATTTTTTAGGCTTTTAAAAAATATTTTCCAGATTTTCAGCAATATGTTGCTTTTTAAAGTTAATTTTATTGGTTAGTAAAGCTACATAGATTTCAGGTGTAGAATTCTGTAATACATCATCTATATATCACATTGTATGTTCACCAACGAGTCAGTTCTCCTTCCATCACCATATATTTGACCTCCTTTACCCTCTGGTATCCCTCCTCCCCCCTTACTCTCTGAATATATTACCTTTATAACAAAAAATAGTAAATAAAAACCAAAACAGGGTAAGAGCTTATTCATTGAATGCCTAAATTAGATCAACTTTTAAGTATAGTTAAAATTATTGTAGCTCTGAGTGGTAGAAGCAAACCAGCCTAAACTTGTCTCAGGTTTAGCTCATAATCCCTTGGAATCCCTGAAGGGAACTATTACACAATTGCTTGATTTAGAGCAGCAACACGCACGCACTGTTAATTGACATCGCAACAGAACTTGCTCTGGCTCCAGCTTTAAATTTACATCCTTATGTGTGGATTTCAGTAAGATAAAGTGCAGTTTCTTAATCAGAACTATTATTATGTTCTGTTGTAGCTCATGTATTCTCAAGTTGATAAAATATTTGTTGTTGGAAAAGGGAAATCTTATTGGCAAAAAAAGATTTTTTAAATATCTTAAACTCAATTATTTGGTTTTACATACATAAGATTACCAAAACATTTGAAGGCAAACTGAATTAAGCGCCAGGAGTCTGTATGTTTTACTTCTGATTCAGAGGAAAACATGGAATTTGTAAAGTCTTTTCTCTGAGGAGTTGAAGAATCTCTCAGAGTGTATTTAAACTAGATAGTTCAGTAGGTCTCTTAACATTAAAGCTTCTTAACCACATTATTTCATAATAACTAATATTAAGGTATTGGTAATATAGTCTTATCTTACTCTTAGAAAATACATTTTAAAAAATTCATGTCAAACATGTTGGTTTTTTATTAAAGGGCTTTTTTGACAAAAGAGTGTTTCTGCATATATTTAATTTAACAAAAATAATTTATATACATTTCAGAGTTAACTGAAGTTATATATGGCTGTAACAAATTTCTTTATCTTTTTTTGTTAGACAGATAATAAAGTTGTTTAACATGGGTAAGCCAAAAGAAGAAACTTGAAATAATCAGTAATCTTACTAGCAATAAACAATTACTTTTGGGATATTCTATGTGTGTGTGGTTGCACGTGTGTATATGTAATATGTGCGTGTGTAATCATACTATGTATACTATTTTGACACCTACTTTATTCTATATTAATATGAGTATCTTGTAATATAGTGTGTCAACTACATACATAATTAAATTTGTGGTTATTTATACTTAAGAATGATACATAATAAAGTTATAATTCGTTATTTACTTGACAAACATTTTAGCCACATTATTTCATACTCAAAAGTATTATTATTTATAATAAATTGGACACTCACTAAAATGCTTTCTTTGAATTTGTGTTGTAAGACAGCCTTATAAATGGAACCAACCTTGTAACTTTTGAAATAACGAATTATTCCTCAAAAGGATATAAGCAAGTCCCACCTGAGGGCAATTTCTACTTTCTAGTAATTAGAGTTAATAGACGCTTCCAATATATTTCTTGCTTTTAACAGAAATGAAGTGGTTTGATTTATTAATCTCTTGGGTTCATCTCTAAAATTTGCTTATTTATATAATTTTCAATGCATAGCACCAAATGAGGACTAAAGGTTTGATCCTAAACACCTAGCTGGAATTTTTTTTTTTTTTGTATTATAGTTTTATTTATTTTATTTTATTTTAAAAAAGATTTTATTGGGGAGTTGGGGGAGGGGAACAGCGGTGGGGAATCGGGGAAGGGGAGCAGACAAGTTGCTGTTCTTTTGTTCTTTAGTCTAGTTGTGGAGGATATCGCTTCACTGGTCCATGTTGGTATTATCATTGAGTTCTTCCCAGGAGAGGCAGTCGCTTGCCGGCCATTGGACGGTGGCTCACGAAAGCTCACACCAGCTGCGGGCCAGCCCCACTGCAGCCTACACCGTCACTGGCGACTCCGGGCAGCCCAGCTCCAGGTCCAGCTGTTGGTCACCATAGCTTTAGAGGGCGCAGTGTCACTGGCCCTCATGAGGGATCCGAACTGGGGCCCTGCTCCTCAGAGTTGGGTCCCAAGCCAACTCTTAACCAATGCACCATGTGGCTGGCTTTGTATTATAGTTTTTTAAAAAATTTTTACATTTATATTTTCAGTAGGTGACACAATCCCATGATAAAAAATTCAAAACCCACAAAAAGTATAAATTTAAGAGTCTACCAGTGCCTCATTCTAGAGAGCTGTGTATATGTAGATATTTGTATAAAATACATATTGTTTTTCTTTTGAAAATATAAATTTGTAATATACTTTGCATACAGTTATTCTTGTATTTTTTTTTCGCTTAATGTGGAGAATTTACCATATTTCATCAATTTTAAATGCACATTCCGTCCATTTTAACAACTCTGGAATAAGGATGTATCTTAAAATCAGTGGCACCTTAGATCTTATCAAATACTACAATAAGTACATAAAAGGTCTCCTCATTCCTTTTAATGACTGAGTAGTCCCTTCATTGTGTGGATGTACATTTCCCTTTTGATGGACATTTGAATTGTTTCCTATTTTTTGATTTTAACAAACAGCAGTGAATTATGTAGTAGTATATCATTGTGCATACGTGTGAATTCATCTGTGGGTTAAATTCCTAGAAGTGCAATTATTGGATCAAAGGATATGTGTATTTGTATTTTGATAGGTATTAATACACAACCCTTCATAGAAGTTGACTTTCCAACAATGTGTACAAATCTTATTTCCCCAGCACTTTACTTGCATAATCCTATCAAACTTTTGAACTTCTGCCAATCTCATAGATGAAAAGGGGTATCTTGATGTTTCCTTAATTTGCCTTTTCTTATTATCAGTGAGGTTGGGCATCTATTAATGTGTTTGAGTCATTTGTAGTTCCTTTTCTGTGGACTTTCTAATAGTCTGCCTTTTCCTCTGATGGATTACAGACTATTTTCTTATTGATTTGTAAGAGCACTTTACATATAAAGGAAATCATCCCTTTGTGATGTGAGTACAGTTATTTTTCCCAGTCTGCTATCTTTGCCTTTGGTGGTTTTTGCCACAAAGAATTCATGTGCAAGCATGCATGTGGAGTTGAATTTTTTAATGTTTTCTTCTAATGCTAATTGGTTTAATGTTTTTCTTAGAAAGACCTCCTCTCTGAAATTATTTTAAAAATTCATTTCTAGTGCTTTTATAATTTTTTCTTTTCTTTTCTTTTTTTTTAGCTGTGCCATGCTGCCACCTGTTGGCAGCTCGCAGCTCAGCTCGGGCCAGGAATCAAACCAGCGACCCTGTTGCTCAGAGCTCTCATCTTAACCAACTGAGCCACTCGGCTGGCTCCAGACAATTTTTTCTTTTTTTTAACTCAGATATTTGATCCATCTAGAATTTATTTTGGTACTGTGTGTTAGATATAAATCCAAATTTATGTTTGTTGTTTTTTCCTACTGGGCAACCCATTTGTCCCAGTGCCATTGGTTGAATCTCCATTCACACTTACTTTTGTATGTGTTCGTGTCTATTTCTGAATTTTCATACTGTAAAAATTATTTTTAAAAATTGTATGAGTGTTATACATGAATTCAATCTCATGGTAAAAATATCCAATCCATAGTGAAGTTTTTAAAAAAGGGTCCTTTGCTTCTCTTCTTCTTATTCCCTCATACTTTTCTGAGATAATCGTTGTTAACAGATTACCGAGTATTCCATTTAAAATTATTTCTATTACTACGTGTGTGTGTGTGTGTGTGTGTGTGTGTGTGTGTGTGTGTGTGTGTATCTCACGTGTAGTTTGGGGGATATAGAGATTCTATCCATCCATTCATCATGTGTAATATACTGTAAGTTGCTTTTCGCCCCACTAACTCTATGTCTTAGAATTCCATGATAGTCTGTGCAGCTCTACCTCATTATTTTTTTTTACCCTCGGTATGGATTCTGTAGTATGAATGTATTATACTTGATTTAACTACTCCCTTATTGTAACACATCTAGGTTGTTTGCAATTTTTCCCTAATTTTAGCAAGGCTGTCTATAAAACTTAAGAAGTGTGTAGCATTGCTTCTCTTTAATTTGTGATAAGCCTAATTCCAAAATGTTTATTTATGATTAACTTACTGTTGTGTAATTTGTGAGGAAGAAAAACTGACTACACTGAGTGATATGTTATTAATATTTGTGATCTTGTCTTTCTAGATAAAATTTGATGCTGGGACCCTCCTTCTTAGTACTCATCGACTCATTTGGAGAGATCAGAAAAATCATGTAAGATACAATTTTTTACACCTGTTCTAAGTCTTAAATCGCTGAAGTTTTTCTGTCTTTCTTTTTATTTTCTGGCAAAGCTATAAATAGATGCAACAAATTTTTATTTTCAGAATGTCAACAGAGTGTGTCTCACATGATCCCTCTGAATGGAATACAGATAGAGGGGTTGGAGTGTTGTCCCTCATTCAGTTCCAGAAAAGTCTGTAGTTTCTGAATAGAGAATCATGGTGACTCCTGTTCTATAAACACCAGTCAGATCCTACCCCATACCTGAATGTCCCATGTGTAACAGGAATAATTCTCCTGTCAGTTGTCAAGGGTTCTTAAAAAAAACTCACACATCCTCAAAACAACCTGTTCTGATTATTGTTGAGAATCAGGAGAACAGGTCTGCTGGGAAGTGCTACCTGCTAAGCACAGCCTCTAAGCCACTCAGCAGGAGGAGAAACCCTTGTCTTTTCATTTCTTGGAAGACTGAACCAGTTATGTTTATAGAGCTGTCTTTATTCCATAGAGCTAACTTGAAAGCGTGTGTATATAAATTTCAGTAAAATAAACAATCTCTTCTACATTATTTTTATAATTGTTGCCTCTGTCCTTTAAATTTTAATTCCACAGATAAACAATATACTGTACTGAGGCTCTTTGAAAGGCCACTAACCATTGTAAAATCTAAGATTCTCTTTTCTCCTCAAGAACCAATTTTTGCCCTTTTAGTGGTGATATTGCCCTTATTGATAATGCATGCTTTAGAACTGTTAATGTTGTATAATTCTTTTAAAAGAAATACATACTGAGGAAAGAAATCTCTTTTGGAGGGATAGCTGTCTTTAAACCATATGTTTATAAATTAATCTTAGTAGAATTTTTTGATTATCTATAAAGAGGCTAATTTAGAAATCCTTAAACCAGCCATTAAATGCCAGTCATTTATAACAAAAAGTGAAATGTACTAATAAAGGGAAGCTACATTAGTATTTTCTGTTAAAAATTAATTATGGGTGGGTGAGTGAAGTATAGAAAGTTATAAAGAAGAAAAATCAATAACACACTCCTTAAAGTTGTTTTGATGTACCTGTTCTATTTTTTGTTTTCCATATTATATGAGTATATTAAAAGTTTAATATAATACTACTTTTTAAAAAATGTACCTACTGTAAAAACAAAGGTAGTTACAGCTGCTTTTAAACCTCTTATGTTCTTTCACGCAGTAAAATGCATTATTATTTTTTATTAAGTGCCTTGAAGGTATTTGGTACTCTATTAAATGCTATAAAACAAGGATTTTGGACTAGTTTTAGGAATGGTGTTTTCTTGTGATTTCCTCCCAGGAGTGCTGCATGGCTATTCCTCTTTCCCAAATTGTGTTCATTGAAGAACAGTCGGCTGGAATTGGGAAAAGGTAAGGTCTGTATATTATAGTCTTTATTCACAAAAACATTTCCATTCAAGCTATTACCATTAATTTAGTTAATTTATTGCTGTGCCATGACTGCATATGTACAAATGAATCTAATGATCGTGTTTTGGGGCTTTATAAATAACAGTCCTTGGTCACGTTTCTCTAAGAAGGTATTGTTCTACCTTAAACTCATTGATAAATGGAAGTCATTATTAAAACATGAGTCAAGTACTAAGGTTTGCTATAATATCCTTGGGATATAATAAATAAATGTGGGCCAGTTGTCATTATATATATTTCCACAGACATTTGCTTTTAAATGTCTATCTTACAATTCAATACTTAAAATCAGAAATAGCCCATCTGAGAAAAGGAACTGACTTTGCTCCTATTTCTAGTTGATCATTAAGTTTCTCACTTTGAATTTTTTAGAGATCAGTGTTAGAGTATCATAATAGTTATTATCTAAACTGGGACATTTATGCGTAATGAGAGCGCCGTTTATAATTAGACCAGAGCAAACATAAAACTGGACTGTCTCAGGCAAACCAGGAGATGTGGTCACCCCGGTTTAAAGGTACAGGTTAAAATGTTTGTTTGTTCAAGTATATCAAACATTCTGGCTTTATATTTTAAGTGCATGTAAATGAGGGCAACTTATGAACACATATTGCTACAAGGAATTTTTTTCAACATGGGCCCATCTTTAGCTTTAGCATAGTTAGACACTTCAATAGATATTACATAAGTGTTGAACTGCACTGCAATTGTAGGGCATACCTTAATTATAATATTGTAGCTAGCATAAGAGATTGCTTATTTGACATAAAAAAGACTAACATTTTGAAAAGATTGGTAAGGTATATATTTTCAGAGTAGACTATTTCTCTAATTTATATTTTGCCCTTTGTCCTTTCCTCCATCTTACTGTTCTTTTTTTAAAAAATTTCCTTTTATTGAGGTATAATTGACATTCAACTTTATATTAGTTTCTGGTGTACAACATAATGATTTGATATTTGTATATATTGCTTTTCTTATTAAGTTCTACAAAGTAAAACTTTAAGTGTGTTCTAGATCATTTGAATTTTCCTCTGCTGTGTTCCAAGGAAATCTAAACTGTATAACAAAAATATTTAAAATAGTTACCTTCACTGTAGTGTTTTATTTTTTTTTAATTTATGGTAAAATTATTATTATTTTTTTTATTGTTAGTTTCATGTGCACAGAACAATGCAATAGTTATCCTTTTCACCCTCACAAAGTAACAACCCCCCTCCCCCATCTACTGCCCTCCCACCCCCGATATCATGCTTGTCTATTACAATTCCATTGATTCCATTCCTACTCTCTACTCCGTGACTCATGACGATATGTATATATAATTATAGTTGACATACAATATTATTCAACATCAGCTTCAGAAATACAGTGTGGTGGGCAGGCCTCCACACTGACCATGAAGTGGTCTCCCCCACCAGACATGAGTCCATCTGGCCTCCCAAGAAATATCTACAACATTATTGATTATATTCCCCAGACTGTCTTTTCTATCCCTGAGGCCATATTGTAGTTACCAATTTGTATTGTCTCATCCCTTCCCCT